TTATGTTCCCGTAAAATGTGTCTAGAATAAAATTAGTACTTTGAACCTTTGAGAGGGGCCCCCACCGGGCATGTCAGGAAGTGGTCACAAATGAACCGCGAGTTGAGAAAATGGCATCGGAAGGGAGGCAACTCTTGTTACCTCACATGTGCGGTTTCACATAGATTGCATGTTTGTATGTTATTCACAGCCGCATACACATTTTTCAAGCTATATGTTTGCAGAATATATATAATGGAGTTAATTAATGGACCAGACAGTACACTTATTGACACTCTCACGCTATTTGCACAGTATGTTGGTTTAAGCCCAGGCAGCTAGGCTGGCCACCCGATCCCGTTAGTCGACTTTTACTCGCCTGCATATGGTGGAAAAGACAAGACCCATTACACCTTTAAAAGACTTTTGAATGAATGATTGTGTGATTGTGTGATTTGATGTGTGATTGTGTCCTGACATGTGACTATGTGTCATGATGTATCATTGTGTCATGACATGTGACTATGTGTCATGATGTATCATTGTGTGTCATGACATGTGATTGTGTGTAATGACATGTGACTATGTGTCATGCCATGTGACAATATGTCATGCTGTATCATTATGTCATGACATGTGACTATGTGTCATGACATGTGACTGTGCGTCATTATATATCATTGTGTGTCATGACATGTGACTGTCTGCTATAACACATGAGATTCTGTGTGATGACTTGTGTGGGTTCTATCCCATGTCAATATGTGTCACGACACAAACGTTATGAGTCTGTGTCATAGCATGTATTGTGCTGTGTCAAGAAACAAGACAGTAACACATGTTGGTATCATCACTCATGACAGAGACCTGTTTTAGTCTGGACCATGGCGGAACACAGTGATCCAGGTTCAGGACACCCATCAAGGTGAAGCCACCCATCAAGGTGAAGCAACCCATCAAGGGGAAGCCACCCATCTAGGTAAGCCACCCATTAAGGGAAGCCACCCATCAAAGTGAAGCCACCCATCAAGGTGAAGCCACCCATCAAGGTGAAGCCACCCATCAAGGTGAAGCCACCCATCAAGGTGAAGCCACCAATCAAGGTGAAGCCACCCATCAAGGTAAGCCACCCATCAAGGTAAGCCACCCATCAAGGTAAGCCACCCATCAAGGTAAGCCACCCATCAAGGTAAGCCACCCATCAACGTAAGCCACCCATCAAGGTAAGCCACCCATCAAGGTAAGCCACCCATCAAGGTAAGCCACCCATCAAGGTAAGCCACCCATCAAGGTGAAGCCACCGAGCAAGGTGAAGCCACCCATCAAGGTAAGCCACCCATCAAGGTAAGCCACCCATCAAGGTAAGCCACCCATCAAGGTAAGCCACCCATCAAGGTAAGCCACCCATCAAGGTAAGCCACCCATCAAGGTAAGCCACCCATCAAGGTGAAGCCACCCATCAAGGTGAAGCCACCCATCAAGGTAAGCCACCCATCAAGGTGAAGCCACCCATCAAGGTAAGCCACCCATCAAGGTAAGCCACCCATTACGGTAAGCCACCCATCAAGGTAAGCCACCCATCAAGGTGAAGCCACCCATCAAGGTAAGCCACCCATCAAGGTAAGCCACCCATCAAGGTAAGCCACCCATCAAGGTGAAGCCACCCATCAAGGTAAGCCACCCATCAGCCACCCATCAAGGTAAGCCACCCATCAAGGTAAGCCACCCATCAAGGTAAGCCACCCATCAAGGTGGTAAGCCACCCATCAAGGTAACCCACAAGGTGAAGCCACCAAGGTAAGCCAACCATCAAGGTTAAGCCACCCATCAAGGTAAGCCACCCATCAAGGTAAGCCACCCATCAAGGTAAGCCACCCATCAAGGTAAGCCACCCAAATCAAGGTAAGCCACCCATCAAGGTAAGCCACCCATCAAGGTAAGCCACCCATCAAGGTGGATTGCCACCCATCAAGGTAAGCCACCCATCAAGGTAAGCCACCCATCAAGGAAAGCCACCCAGGTCAAGGTAAGCCACCCATCAAGGTAAGCCACCCATCAAGGTAAGCCACCCAAAGATGCCTTTCTTCAACGATCAATCTAATAACATGCTATATTATAATCTACTGAAAACTACATGCAAATCTATATGTAATGATTGTCTGACTAGTTTCCACAAAGATTTCAGATTTCCAGTAAATTTAATATATTCAAAACGCAACCATAAGATGTCAGGATTAGGTAAGGCTTTGTAACATTACAGCTTGTTAAGAAAGTAAGATTGTTTATGGATAACAACTCTCTTATATTATATATGGTGCCACGTTTCGGTATGGATTCTTAAACCGTTGTCAAGCAAGAGTGAAGTACTACAGCACAGAACAGACTTATATACATGAACAGGGATTAAGTAATAACAACATGTAGGTATGAATCAAGGAGATTAACAACAACAACAAAGCACGGTGGTAATAATGTAGTGACGATAGGAGGAAGCCAATGGCCCTAGAGGCAGAAACAAAATATACATGGCTGATGAGATTAATTAGCAATGATAGCTGGACTTCTAAATGCCAATCAAACAGATTACAGCTTGTTGTGTTAAAGATAATTAGGCTGAATTTTGAATACGAGCATTAATGCCCTTTATGTATTATTTTAGTACACAATTCCAAATGATTTGTATAGAAAGAAATGAAAGAAATGAAACGGAAACGTGATCACTTAGCACTTAATCCAATTGAGCACAGAACCCATAATAAATAATTTCTCTGCCCTGATCTAAACACATGCAACCATTTTCACTTTTAAATGGAACTTAGTAGGTAAGCCACCCATCAAGGTAGGTTACCCATCAAGGTGAAGCCACCCATCAAGGTAGGTTACCCATCAAGGTGAAGCCACCCATCAAGGTAAGCCACCCATCAAGGTGAAGCCACCCATCAAGGTGAAGCCACCCATCAAGGTAAGCCACCCATCAAGGTGAAGCCACCCATCATGGTAAGCCACCCATCATGGTAAGTCACCCATCAAGGTAAGTCACCCATCAAGGTAAGTCACCCATCATGGTAAGCCTTCCATCAAGGTAAGTCACCCATCATGGTAAGCCACCCATCATGGTAAGCCACCCATCATGGTAAGTCACCCATCAAGGTAAGTCGTCCATCAAGGTAAGCCACCCATCAAGGTAAGCCACCCATCAAGGTGAAGCCACTTGTCGAGTTTAAACCACCTGTCAAGGTATACCAACGTACAAGGTTAAGACACCTTTCGAGGTTGGGTCACTTAGCCAGTTAAAGCCTTCAAACAGATTATAGCATGGGAGCCAGTTACCAGTTACAGTCTTTTGTAAACAGGGAATACAATCAACTCCAAAGTGCACATCTTTTTATTTGGGCTGATATCACCTAAATTACAAGAAAAGTCAAAGTCTGCAAAACTGAACACATACCAACGCACCAAACAGTTGTAGTCGAACTAGGAAAATGTTTCTTTTACTTTTAGCAGTGGATTGACGGAGGAATGCCTTGCGTAACCAATTTCCTACAGTTGCGTTCCTTGGTCGTACCGATCCATATGATGAAAACAACGTGTGTTACCTACAGTACGTTACAGATAGTAAAGAATTGAATAAATTGAAATGACGATGTTTGAAACTAAATGAGATACAATAAAGCTGAATCAATTCGTGGATTCCATCCAAGCTGAAACCATAACCTTTCTGCCATATGCACCAAAGATGCCTTTCTTCAACGATCAATCTAATAACATGCTATATTATAATCTACTGAAAACTACATGCAAATCTATATGTAATGATTGTCTGACTAGTTTCCACAAAGATTTCCAGATTTCCAGTAAATTTAATATATTCAAAACGCAACCATAAGATGTCAGGATTAGGTAAGGCTTTGTAACATTACAGCTTGTTAAGAAAGTAAGATTGTTTATGGATAACAACTTCTTATATTATATATGGTGCCACGTTTCGGTATGGATTCTTAAACCGTTGTCAAGCAAGAGTGAAGTACTACAGCACAGAACAGACTTATATACATGAACAGGGATTAAGTAATAACAACATGTAGGTATGAATCAAGGAGATTAACAACAACAACAAAGCACGGTGGTAATAATGTAGTGACGATAGGAGGAAGCCAATGGCCCTAGAGGCAGAAACAAAATATACATGGCTGATGAGATTAATTAGCAATGATAGCTGGACTTCTAAATGCCAATCAAACAGATTACAGCTTGTTGTGTTAAAGATAATTAGGCTGAATTTTGAATACGAGCATTAATGCCCTTTATGTATTATTTTAGTACACAATTCCAAATGATTTGTATAGAAAGAAATGAAAGAAATGAAACGGAAACGTGATCACTTAGCACTTAATCCAATTGAGCACAGAACCCATAATAAATAATTTCTCTGCCCTGATCTAAACACATGCAACCATTTTCACTTTTAAATGGAACTTAGTAATCTCATGACAAAGTGAGAATTCTCAGGTGAGAGTAGGTCCGTAACAATCTATGGTGATCGCAAGAGGATTTTATGGATCAGGTTGTCAGGCTACGATTTGGACAATTGCTCATTGTTACATAACTACTGCTATGTCTGTCCTGATTATTTACAGACCGCCGTCAAATCCAACTGAGTGCGGCTTTACGCAATAATGAGAAAAATTATTACCGGGAACGTCTTGACCATATGACAACAAAACATCTTAAATCATGAGATTTCTCTTACAGTTTTCAATCAACGCTCAGCTATATGTGCACATGCATATTCCGCAGTCCTGCCATGTTTGGTTCTTATAGCTGCACTCAGCAATGTAAACAACAGTCCTTATTGTGAACGATATTGTGTGAAAGGACACATACCATCATAGTCACTGAGCTCAAGAACCAGATCTATTTGGTCGCCTCTTAGGGCCAACATAGTTTGCCATCTGCCGATGCTAACCCCGAATCCTCACGGGTTCGTCATGAAGGTGTCGAATCACATCAACTCCAGCTAGCTAAGATGAGTCTTCTTTCAGGATCTCAACTATCGATGTGTAGCCACAGGTTTCAGCAACTTGTAGTGGTGATTTTCCAGCTTTGTTTTTCTTATTGATATCCACGACGCCATGAAGAGTGATCAGGTATTTGACAATGTCAAGGTTACCTCCGTAGCAGGCTACGTGAATAATGCTGTCTCCATCATTGTCGACCGCCTTCAAATCGCACTCCTTGCTCACAAGAAGAACAAACACCCCCTTGTGTCCCATACTAGCAGCCTTCATGACTGGGGTCTGGCCATACTTTCCCTTGCTTTCTAGCCCTCCTATCTTCGAGGCAATGACATGGTTCACCATGTCGACATTACCCCCCAGACAAGCAACGTGAAGGACGTTGTCTCCGTCAGCATTCACAAAGGAAGTGTTGCAACCTTTGCTCACAAGCAAATCAAAGATGTGTCTGTGTCCTGACGCTGCTGCCTTCATCAATGGCGTTTGACCATACTGACCCTTGCTCTCTATACTGATGGCGCCTAGAGCAAGGATGTGGTTGACCATGTCTTCACTGCCATAGAAACATGCGAGGTGAAGGATGTTGTCTCTGTCATCGTCTACGGTCTTCATATTAGATCCTTCGCTCACCAGGAAGTCAAAGACTGGTATGTGGCCCTTTTCTGCTGCCATCATTAATCCTGTTCTTCCGTGCTTCCCACGACTTTCAAGGTCAGCTATCTTCAGAGACACGATGTGTGTCACCATGTTCATGTTTCCACCAAGACAGGCAACATGGAGAATATTGTTATTGTAATTGTCCACAGCAAGGTTTGAACAACCTTCAGACAGGAGTAAGTCCACCACGTTCTTGTGATGTGTTCGTGCTGCCTTTAACAAAGCTGTTTGTCCGTATTGACCCTTAGCGTCTATGTCCAATACATTTTGTGAAAGGATGTATCGCAATACGTCCACGCTTCCCCCTTTGGCTGCTACGTGAAGGATGTTGTCTTTGTTGCTGTCCATCACAGAAAGATCACATCCACTCCTAACGAGCAGATCCACCACGTCTGTGTGGCCTTTATTAGCAGCATGCATAACGGGTGTTCTTCTATACGTCCCCCTGCTTTCTAATGGAAGAACATCCTTTGACACGATAGCCTCCACCATGGCAACGTTGCCTCCAAGACACGCAACATGAAGAATATTATCTCCATCATCGTCAGCTACCGACAAGTCAGCCCCTAGGTCAAGAAGTAACTCAAACACAGGAACTCGACCAAAGAATGCTGCTGTCATAATCGGCGTCCTTCCGTATTTTCCCCTCGACTCGATTCCACAAACCTTCTGAGATAACAGGTGCTTGACCATATCAACGTTGCCACAGTAGCATGCAACGTGGAGGATGTTGTCACCGTTGGCGTCCACTACAGAAAGATCACATCCCTTGCTGACCAGAAAATCGAAGATATTCATGTGACCGAAATCGGCTGCAGTCATGACCGGCGTTCGTCCGTATTTGCCCTTGCTTTCAATATCAACCACCCCTCTGGACAGAACAGCTTGCACGAGTTCCTGTCTTCCACCATAGCAGGTCATGTGTAGAACTGTGTCTCCATCTTTGTCTATTACTGACAAACTACACCCTTTGCTAACCAAATATTCAAAGACTTCGCGCTGACCAAAATAAGCTGCATGCATCACCGGTGTGCGTCCCAGTTTGTCCTTGATTTCTGCTGTAAATATCTTCTGAGAAATGATGTACTTCACCATGTCCAAACTGCCACCTTGACAAGCTACATGGAGGACGTTATTGCCGTCGTCGTCTACTGCTGACACGTCGGAACCCTTGGTGACAAGAAATTCAAAAAGTCCCCGGTGCCCTTTATTTGCTGAAGCCATCAACGGTGTTCTGCCATATTGTCCCTTGCTTTCAATATCAATGTTTGTCTTGGTGAGAACATGGCTCACCATGTCAATATTCCCACTGAAGCATGCAACATGCAGGACGTTGTATCCGTGGAAATCTAAAGCCTTGAAGTCACAAGCTCTGCTGATAAGGGAATCAAAGACACGAATATTGCCTTTTTCTGCTGCCATCATGAGCGGCGTCCTTCCAAATTTGCCACGATCCTCTATTCCAAACTGTTTATTGCACAGTACATGTTTCACCATGTGTACATCGCCTCCACAGCAGGCGACATGGAGGACGTTGTTGCCGTCATCATCAAGCACAGAGACGTTAGAACCTTTGCTCACCAGCAGGTCATATACACCACGGTGTCCCTTCTCAGCTGCTTTCATCAACGCAGTTCTTCCATACTGACCACGACACTCCAGGTCGAGTGTTCTTTTAGACATCAATAGAGACGTCACCAGATCAACATCATCACTGAGACAGGCAACGTGAAGAATGTTATCACCATCATAATCCACCACGGAGAAATCACTTCCATTTTCAAGTAATACATCAAACACCTCACTGTGACCCATCCTCGCGGCTTTCATCAACGCGGTTTGTCCAAACTGTCCCCTGGTCTCGATGCCAAATATCCTTTGAGACAGAATGTGTCTCACCATATCAACCTTTCCACCAAGACAAGCTACATGAAGAATATTATCGTCACGGTCATCCAAGATTTTCATGGAACACTTCTTACTCTCCAGTAAATCATAAACCGCTGTGTGTCCGTAATAAGCAGCTATCATCACAGACGTTTGACCGTACTTGCCTCTGCTGTCGATGGCAACGGCTTTCTGCAGAAGAATGATCTTCACAGCTTCAACGTTACCCCCTGTACAAGCTAAATGAAGGATGTTTTCGCCATCATCATCAAGCAGTGATAGGTCACTCCCTTGTCTGATCAGTAGCGCCAAAGCATCCTTTTGGCCGGTAGCTGCTGCGACCATCACAGGGGTTCTGCCCATGACCCCTCGAAAATGCAGTTCCTCTGGGGTTTGTGTCAGTATGACTCTGATAGTGTCCAGCTTCCCCTGTTCGCAAGCTTGGGGAAGGGTGATGCCCACTTTTTGCTTGACTGGGTTCTTGTTCATTATGCAGGACTTCCTTCGATGACCGTTCAGGAAAGTATGTTCGAATCTGCGAGAGAAAAGAAATCATTTGTTGAAGTCGTTTATGGTTTTATGAATGCATGGTTTAGGATAAACACTACTTTGAAATCATTTCAATTGTATCAGACCGAGTTACAATCATGTGTGAGAATGGTTTGAGATCAACAACATTATTTCAATTGTATCAGACCGAGTTATATTTCAATCATATCACACCGAGTTATATTTCAATCATATCACACCGAGTTATATTTCAATCATATCACACCGAGTTATATTTCAATCATATCACACCGAGTTATATTTCAATCATATCACACCGAGTTATATTTTAATCATATCACACCGAGTTATATTTCAATTATATCACACCGAGTTATATTTGAATTGTATCACACCGAGTTGTATTTCAGTTGTATCACACCGAGTTATATTTCAATTATATCACTCCGAGTTATATTTCAATCATATCACACCGAGTTATATTTCAATTGTATCACACCGAGTTATATTTCAATTGTATCACACCGAGTTATAATTCAATTATATCACACATAGTTATATTTGAATTGTTTCACACACAGTTGTATTTCAGTTGTGTCACACCGAGTTATATTTCAATCATATCACACCGAGTTATATTTCAATCATATCACACCGAGTTATATTTCAATCATATCACACCGAGTTATATTTCAATCATATCACACCGAGTTATATTTTAATCATATCACACCGAGTTATATTTCAATTATATCACACCGAGTTATATTTGAATTGTATCACACCGAGTTGTATTTCAGTTGTATCACACCGAGTTATATTTCAATTATATCACTCCGAGTTATATTTCAATCATATCACACCGAGTTATATTTCAATTGTATCACACCGAGTTATATTTCAATCATATCACACCGAGTTATATTTCAATCATTTCACACCGAGATATATTTTAATCATATCACACCGACTTATATTTCAATTATATCACACGGAGTTATATTTGAATTGCATCAGACCGACTTGTATTTTAGTTGTATCACACTGAGTTATATTTCAATCGTATCACTCAGAGTTATATTTCAATTGTATCACACCGAGTTATATTTCAATTATATGACACAGAGTTATATTTTAATCATATCACACCGAGTTATATTTCAGTAGTATCACACTGAATTATATTTGAATTGTATCACACCGAGTTAGCTCCATGTGTGAGAATAGTTTGAGATATACACTACTTTGAACATCATTTCAATTATATCACACCGGTTTATATTTCAATCATATCACTCCGAGTTATGTTTCAATCATATCACACCCATTTATATTTCAATCATATCACACCAGTATATATTTCAATCATATCACTCCGAGTTATATTTCAATTATATCACACCGAGTTATATTTCAGTTACATCACACCGAGTTATATTTCAATTACATCACACCGAGTTATATTTCAATTACATCACACCGAGTTAAATTCAAATGGAGAAATGCCTGGAATGATGTCGGACGACCAATGACAAACTCGGGTATTGTGCTGATAAGGAACGTAACATTGTCGTGACCATCCCGGATTCGAACTCCCGTTTAAGAATCTGTGTGTTCCCACGGGACAATTTAATCTGGCTGGTTGGTTGGCCGGTTTGTTGTTTACCGCCGCACTCAGCAATATTCCAGCTATGGCGGCGGTCTGTAAATAATCGAGTCTGCATCACACAATCCAGTGATCGAGAACATGAGCATTGATCTACGTAATTTGGATACGATGACATGTGTCAACCAAGTCAGCGGGCCTGACCACTCGATTCCGTTAGTGGCCTTTTCCGACAAGCATGGGTTACTGAAGACCAATTCTAACCCGGAGCTTCACGGGTCCAACTGAACCTGTCTCGTACCTCTCTCGTTAAGCTGACTAAACTAATACAGTGTTGAAAGCAGTAAACCCACCTAACAATAAATCTGGATTCAATTTCAAGTTCTATATTGCTTTGCACTACAGACAGTTTTTTATTGAGTGAGTGAGTGAGTTTAGTTTTACGGCGCAATATTCCAGCTGCATGGCAACGGTCTGTAAATAATCAAGCCAGACAATCCAGACAATCACTGAAGGCCCAGGCTCGATTCCCCGCATGGGTACAATGTGTGAAGCCCATTTCTGGTGGGAAAAAAAACAAACCCACACAGAGACAACCGTGACAATGAGTTATAACAGTTACCTGGTTCTCTCTCTCTCTCTCTCTCTCTCTCTCTCTCTCTCTCTCTCTCTCTCTCTCTCTCTCTCTCTCTCTCTCTCTCTCTCTCTCTCTCTCTCTCTCTCTCTCATTTGCAGTGCTCATGTTGTTGATCTCTCTCTCTCTCTCTCTCATTTACAGTGCTCATGTTGTTCTCTCTCTCTCTCTCTCTCTCTCTCTCTCTCTCTCTCTCTCTCTCTCTCTCTCTCTCTCTCTCTCTCTCTCCTCCCCCCACCCACCCCGCTCCCCGTGATGTTGCTGGAATATAACTAAAGGCGGTGTTAAACCCTACTCAGTCATTATCTTCATACGGTTACGCTATGAGTATATTTGTACTGTTATTGTATGTGTAGAAATGAATAGTTTCCAGTGGTACTCGGTAAAATGAGCTTTTCATAGTTGGTCGTTAAGCCGTCTACAAACCGATGTCTTCAGACATGTGTCGACAGACCATCAATGTCTCTGAACGACATTATCCCGGGAATCAATTCAACCTGTCGGGCCTGTGATATTCAGCGCGTGTGACAACCAGATCACCGTGTACTGGGTAGACAAATAAGACCCATTGTGAGAAACAAACCGATCAGGCTGACTATATTCACTATACTAACCTACTGGCTGATAGTCTCGCTCGCTACAAAAGGATTACTAAATGTGCGCTTAAGTGACAACCATTCACTTCATGCTGTGGATATGAGATCAAGCGCCATGGCTTTGTTGAGAGTGTAAATATATTAAACAGAACTGTTCAGAAAGTGGGATTTCATCTTTTGTGGGTTGACGTCGGTTTATCAAAAGAAAGAAATATGTACGGTGCTGTTAATCTGACGGTGCCCTCGGGGATTTGGAGAGTTGTTTTTCTAATAACTTTGCGTGCCGAAAAAGGCGAATATATGGCTTAAGACAACTTTGACAGCGTGCTATTGCACCCTGAACATAATCCGGCGTCACATATTTAACGTGAACGCCTATATGTCTAAGTCTATATGAAGCAACACAACAGAAAGTGAAGGCAACCTCACACCCTTATTTCTCGTCAGTTTGAACTTTTGATACACATTATTTCCACGAATCGTTATTTCAAAGTTTCTAATACACTATTGCTTAGTCTCTGAATATATACCCATTTAAACGAAACAGACAACACAAGAAAGTATAAATGTTCCTTTATTCTTTTCCAGGTTTCTTCTTGTTTCTCATGAACACTTGTACTTTCATGTGTTCCCTTATTCGTTTCTATGAGTATACCGGTATATAGTTTTGGTAGTAACAAATACTTTTATTTAAATTGAAAAGGGGCTCCATTGAGATGTGAGATTCAGAACCTGGGGATTTCAACATTTCTTTCATTTAGGGATTTGGCCCTGCAGTAAGGCCTAGACAGTAGGGGGAAAATGTGGTTCAGGGACTGTGAGGCCCAGTTTCTAATGATGACATCGTCTACCGGTACAGCCATACACAACGGTGTAGAGCTACGTGATCACATTGTCAGGTCACTAATTGCTCGGGGTTCAAAGGACCCCAACATTGCCTTGTGCAATACACGAGTTATTGACGTGAGTAGTGCCCAGGTCAATAGTTGTATGGAAACAAAACTGTGAACTGTTTAATATGTGTAAATGTGATGACTAGATTATCTCCTACAGTCATTTGGAGCAAGACAGTGAGTGAGTAAAGTTATGCGTCGCATTTAGCAATTTTCCAGCAACATCACAGCGGGTGACTCCAAAAACATGCTTCACTCATTGTACCCATGTGGGGAATCGAACCCGGGTCTTTAGTGTGACGAGCGAACGCTTTAACCACTAGGCTACCCATCCGCCCCAGTCATTTGGACTGGTAGATGTCAGGCAGACAGATAGATAGATAGATAGATAGATAGATAGATAGATAGATAGATAGATAGATAGATAGATAGATAGATAGATAGATAGATAGATAGATAGATAGATAGATAGATAGAATAAAGTATGAATGCGATATATGTGGACCGATTTGTGTATGCCTAATGAAAAGACTCATGCGTTCAACTAGATATGCCTGCACAAATGCGTGGACCGTCATGTGAACAACTGATGTGTGTATATATAAGCCTACAGACATGCATGACGAGTACTTCGGGTTTGCTCACCCAAATAAAGCCATTTTTTTCAAATATGTAATTCAAGCCTCCTAACACAGGTACAAGATTAACTCACCTCACTGCTTCCTATGGTCCGCCATGTCAGGGACTACTTGCGTCGTAACAGCGCTGACCGCGAGTATCCAAGTGACGTCAACACCAATGAGGGTACACCAATGAGGCTATTTCTGTAGCCGGTGGATCCTTACAAAGCACAGTCTGCCCGACGTTGTCCGTTCAATACAGACTCACGTTGGGACACAGCCCTGTATGAATAGAAATCAAACGTTTGCAGTTTCTCGTGTACACCTATACTCATGTGCCCAATTCTTCATTGTGTATAGACATGTGCGTCCCTGTTTGAAGGAAGGTAGTCTGTCTAACAAAACGTCCCTGTTTGAAAGAAGCTAGTTCATGTTTGAGTGAGTGTGTGAGTCTAGTTTTACGCCGCACTCAGCAGTATTCCACCTATATTGCGGGGGTCTGTTAATAATCGAGTCTGAACCAGACAATCCAGTGATCAACAGCATGATCTGCGATGACATGTGTCAACCAAGTCAGCGAGCCTGACCACCCGATCCCATTAGTCACCTTTAACAAACATGGGTTAATGA